AAGATATTATTCTATCATTGAGATTCTGAGATGTTGAAATAATTTCTTTAAAACCTTGTAGCTCAAATGGACTCCCTGAACATAAGGTACAAGGGACTCCTTGAATTACCTCATTGCCAATTTGAGGCTTGGTCAATTTGCTGTTCATCAAGACATTCTCATTCTAAGCAATAAATATTTAATGTATTGAATCCCTTAGTATGAAAAGCTATTTTCAGAGAGGCTTTAAGGAAGAAGATAGTAGGAAATGTGACTAGACTGTAAGCTTCACAAGGGCAGGAATTATATTATGTTCTGTTAACCATAATGCACACTGTTTAATCTTTAGACACTCAAATGGATGTTGAATGAATGAATGAAATTTTATAGCATACAATTATGTTTAGAATAGCTATATATGTTTATATTTATATTCTACAGGATGGGTTCACTCATTGTTTATTTAAAAGCTTCACACAGCTCTCTATAAAAACTCTCCTCCAGATATTATCTCTATTATAAGGCTAGGTGGATCTTAAATAACTACCTTAGTTATGATCCTTGCCCAGAATAAGTATAACTGAACATGCAGTGACCTATTAATAACAAACCTTATTTCTCTCTGTAGCTGTTATACATTAACATATATATTACAAATTTATATATTTATTATATACAGAGTATGCCAAAAAATGTGTACACATTTTAATAAAGGAAAAACTGTATTAAAATTGAAATACTCAATATATACTGATAACAAAAGATGAATACAAGTCACGTTTGACTTCTGCAATTGCAAGAGGTACTCAAAGTGGTTACCATCAGTGTAATTTTAATATAGTTTTTTCCTTTCTTAAAATGTGTATACATTTTTGGCACCCTCTGTATATAATAAATATACAAATTTGTAGCATATGTATATATATATAATATATATATATATATATGTGTGTGTGTGTGTATAGTCTAGAATATATAAAATACATGCATACTCTTCTTTAGCTGATGGTTTTCCAAAAAGGTAACTAGCAATTTGACATCATTTTTTGTGTGATTTATTTTCTTATTTTTCAATGTCTCATCAGAAATCTACAATATTTAACACTATCTAATAACTATGAATAAAGACACAATTTAACTTGGCTCCAAGTCAAACAGATTAACTTCATGAATCTTCTTGAAAAATCTGCTAAATACATTGTCAACGCAAAGATGCTCCTTGATATTTGTGGGGATTGTTTCAGAGGCCTCTCAAATGGGAAATTCTATGATTTTTTTAAAACCTGTTCCCTGAACAAGAGGAAAATTTGGAGGTGTGTGTGTGTGTGTGTATGATAATGTCTGAGATCTTTCACTTAAGCTTTGGTGATTAAGTTAGTAAGTCTTAAACTGGGCCAGTCCTCTAAAATGTTTTGGCTGCATAACACTATATTTCTAGAAACAGAGAAATTTTATATCTTCATGATTAACTTTATCTGTGATGCTTTTTTTATTTTCATAAAACAAGATAAGCCTAAATGCTTCCATTTTGATCTTTGTTTATTTTCTTATTGCCAAAGCCCCACATTGCTAGGGATATTATTTTGCCATATTTAACTAGAATTTTTTTACGTTGCTTCCTACTCTGAGGATTTTCAGATATAATGTAGACTAAAGGAATTAATTGCATGCAGTCCTTTGCAAAGGTGTAATTACATCAAGGACTTCATAAACTAAAAGACTAATGAAATTATTGTCATGTAATTCTCTGTAATGCTACATTTTATATACATTTAAAATTTTTTAAAAAGCAGCAGTAAGACAACAATAAATAAATCTGCACCTAAACTGTTCTGTCATAATCATAATTTCTATTTAAATTGATATAAATTTGTAATATTAAGGAATTTGAGGACAGGGTTTTAAATAACTGAAGTCACAATAATTGAAGCTTTATTGTAAGTGAGACGGAGGAATGAGGTTCATTCACAAGAACTAAGTAAAATGTTTTCAGGCACAAAGAGTCTCCTTAGAAATCTTTCTTCTTGGTTTTCTAAAAGTTGTCCTGGTTATTTGAAAGGTATGTAGAGTGACTTTTATTATTATTATTAGAATAAGATTATGGCTAAGGGAAGGTTTATGACTTTCAAGAAACTCATACATATATATAACATATATTTTATATATATATATATTATATATAACAAGTATGTATATATAGTGTATATTATATATACATACTTATATATATATATAACAAATATGTATATATACATAATATATATATATGTATTATAAAACATAAAGCTTGGTAAACAGTTGTCTATAAATTAAAATTTTGAAAAATGAGACATTCGAAACATGCTTTCTGAGAAAGGAAAGCAGAAACAAAAATTGATGATTATTAACATCAATTGGGGGTGTTCCCAAGTGTGGGTGCTAAGAATGAGTAACTAGAAGCTGTGTGTCTGTTGTGATTAAGAATGCAGAATCAGACTGTGATTTTAAAATCTGGCTCCACCATTTCTGCCCTGCGTGTAGACAATAGTTACCTAACTAAAATAGAATGAGTTAGGTTACGACCCAGTAACAATCCACCCCCCAAACTCAGTGACTTACACAATAACTTTTACTTCTCACTCATACAAAGCTGCTATAGTTTCACAGATACCTCCAGGGCAACCATGATCCTTCAGTTGTCCCAACATTCCAGGCTTCCTGAATCTTATACCATCTTCACATTGTTAAGGGCCTCCATGCCATCACAGGGAAACAGAAAGCACAGAGAGTTGAGGCATCAACTCTACAGGCTTCTACCTTTTATTCGATGACAATATTGGCTATTGTGAAGTAGGCAGAAAAGAAAATCAAGATAAAGTTAACCTGAGCTATTTAAAAATTATCAAATATATGGTGATGGAAGGAGAACTGAATCTGGGTGGTGAACACACAACATGATGTATAGATGATGTGTTACAGAATTGCATACTTGAAACCTATGTAACTTTACTAACAATTGTCACCCCAATAAACTTCAATTAAAAAAATTAAAATTATGTCATTCAATCTTAGAACTTGAAAGGGACTAAAAATAACCCAATCAAGCCCCCTTATTTTACAGATGTGGAAACAAACACTCAGAGAAAGTATAGAACTTTTGCCCAAGATTACACAGGAAATATCAGCAGCCTCTGGAGTCAAATTCAGATTTCTCTCCTCGCTCTCAACTGGATGCAATTTCACCACCAACCTTTGGACCTGCGCTAACACTCTTGTCTCTTCTGTCATATTCTAGAAACCAGGGCAACATGGTGGTTAGGTGTCCCTTTTATTTAATTTATAGTTAATGGAAAACCCAGAAATGATGGTAGTTATAGAAGAAATGTCACTCGGCCTCAAATGGTATTGCAGTGGCCATCATTTTACATTCATTGTATTTTAACAATATGATACTTATTGTCCAACCCAACTAAAAATCCCAAATTAAACGCCATATTGAAGAATAATATTTTTACTTACGGCAGGAAAGAACAAGATTCAAGAGAAGAGACAGAATAGCATGCCACAGAACTTTGAAAATGGCCAAAAATAAGGTCTGTTTTCATTGTGTGCTTTCTGAAGCAACATTATTTTAAGATGAATTTACCCCCAGACCCTTCTCACTCATAGCACACTGCAAGGTCTATTACTCTCAGTAGCGAGAACTAGATAGAATGCTGAGCTAGCTATCACAGGTGGTTTCATTTCCATTTGCCAAGTAAAGGGGAAATCAAACAACATGTCAAGACATGCCAAATATCTACTGTATTTATTGCAGGGGATGGCTGGCAGTGACTAAGACAATCACTTTCCACTTGAACAGATTCAGGTTCAAAATGCAGCTTCAGTTATTTCTAAAATGAAAGGAAGGATCAGGGCTGTGTTACCACTTTCATTCATTTAGATCATTATCATATCCACATTCTCCTTTCCCTGCTTGCATTCAGCTCCCCCCACCCCCATACACACTGCGTGTGGGAAGGTAGCCCTCAGGTGATGAGGCTGAAGGGGTGCTTTAGGGTAGCCCAAGCACCTGGGGAAATGGCTGACTGGAACTACTGCTGTCAGTTACTTCTTTGCTAAACATTCATCTCGCAAAACTGACAATTTTAAAACTGAGTTCAGAGATGGAGTTATTCTACACAACACCCCAAATACTCTGGCTAAAACTGTTTTTTGTGGGGTAACCTCCTTTTTAGGCCCTGTATGTCAACTGACTTTCACAACGAGAAATATTATTTATTCAAATGGTAGCTTGCTTCCTTGATGACATTAACAAAAAAAGCTACATTCCTAAAGCTAGTATGGCACTACCCAAAGATTCTGCAGAATCTTGTTTAGATGTAACGTGGACCATAATGACATTCTTCTTATTAAGTACTATACACAGGGGGTGCCAAAAAAATGTATACACGTGACTTGTAGTCATCTTTTGTTATCGGTATATGTTATTACAATGTTAATACAGTTTTTTCTTTTTTAAAAGGTATACATTTTTTGGCACCCTCTCTCTCTCTCTCTCTCTCTCTCTCTCCACACACACACACACACACATGTTAAAGAAACAAAGCTGGTATATCCTATTCTTTTAGAAAAGGCATTAATAATATTCTTCCATCTATGGACTATGAGAGAGGTCCAGATAAGAATATAAGCAGCCCCTCAGTGGAGTAGCTTGGACCTCTCAAAGATGGTATTTGTCATTCACATCAAACCTGAGCAAGGATTGGGGCTAGTTTTAAATGTCAAAACCAAAGGGGAAGGCTTAGCAAGGACCTTGTTTCTTGTCTCAAATGAGGCAGGCTGAGAAAATGTGCATCATTTCGCTCCCACACTGAACTCCCCTCCCTTTTGTTCCTGCTTTTCTCCTGCTTGGAGCTGACTCCTCCTCCCTGCAGCTCCGCGGATCACAGGCTGATTGAAGAACACAGCGGTTCAGAAGGGGAGCTGAGCTCTGGGGTCTCTCATTCACTCTCATTCTCCCTCTGTCTCTGTCTCCCTCTGAACCAACAAAGCTGAAACCCACCTGATAAGCTCTCTGCCTTTGACTCCAGCTCTGGAAACAAACACATCATTTTACTGCTCTTAAAACGTGAATAGAGTTGTACCTGAAGCTACAAGCTGCTTTGCTCCATAAGAAGGACCCCAAAGGATCCAGACAGCATTGTTTTTCACCCTACCTGAGGAGTTTTTGCTTTCATGCCTGAAACTTGATGGTTTCAGGAAGGAGCTTCCGGTTTATTTGATTTTTAATTGCAATGTTGAAAAGATTCTTGTTGATGCTTGAAATGGAGCCCGATTTTTAAATATGGGTTGAGTCAGATCTAAAGGAGACATGCCCGACCGTTTCCTGCTGGACTGACCGGGGAACCTCTAGAGGGAAACTTGGTGGGAGAAAATGAGATCTGATTTGCAACTAGCAGCCACGCTTTATTTTGAGAATATTTACAGGCTCGCTTGAAAGGGAAATTGAGTATTGACCAAGGAAAATGTCCGTATTTCTCAGTAATTCATCAACAAATGACTCTAGCCTATGGAAACAAACTCATAATTCGACAGACCTTGTAAGCCCGCCGGGAGCGCTGAATATCTACGTTTTTTGCCTGACATGCTTACTAACTCTTGCAGCCCTGGCAGGCAGCGTTTACTCACTAGTTTCCCTGCTGAAAATGCAGCACAGAACTGTTGTGTCCATGCTTGTGGCTTCCTGGTCTGGGGATGATCTCATGAGCGTCCTCTCGGTGACCATCTTCCTGTTTTTGCAGTGGCCAAACGAGGTCCCCGGCTATGTCCAGCCTCTGTGCACCACCTCTGCCTTACTATATTTGTGCCAGGGCCTCTCAAGCAACTTGAAGGCGACGCTCCTAGTCTCCTACAACTTTTACACGATGCACAGGACTGTAGGGAGCCAGGCAGCCCCTAGAAGATCCGGCCAGGTGCTTGGCGTGGCGCTGACCGTGTGGGTAGCCAGCCTGCTGCTCTCGGCGCTCCCGCTGTGTGGCTGGGGCGCCTTCGTGCGCACGCCCTGGGGCTGCCTGGCGGACTGCTCCAGCTCCTACGTGCTGCTCCTCTTCGCTGTGTACACTTCGGCCTTCGGACTCCTCGCCGGCCTCTCAGTGCCGCTTACTCACCAGCTGCTGTGTTCGGAGGAGCCGCCGAGACTCTATGCCAACTACCAGGAGATTTCCCGCGGAGCTTCCACTCCCGGGACCCCTCCAACTGGGGAGAGAGTGCTCTCCCTGTGTCCAGATGATGCTCTGCGCCCTGCCCTGCGTTGCTCTGCGGGGTGCTCCCCAAGCTCGGACACTGTGTCTGGGCCGGGTCAGTCCGTGAGGGCCGGAGCCTGCAGGCGTGAGAACCGGGGGACCCTTTATGGCACCAGGAGTTTCACCGTGAGCGTAGCGCAGAAGCGCTTCTCTCTGATCCTAGCGCTGACGAAAGTCATCCTTTGGCTGCCCATGATGGTAAAAGCGCAGTTGCTTACGGTGCGCGGGTGTGTGTGCCAGACAGTGTGCGTGCGGGACCGGCGTCCCTGGTTTGGAGAGTCCCCAGGAGACACGCAGTGAAGTCCGCTTCCCAATGTACCTCGCACGGTTTTAGGGAAGCACTTGTAGGAAGGCAGTTACGGGTAGTGCTAATTGGCAGAGAAGCCTCTGCTAAGTGCGTCTCCTTTCAAAACGAGCGGAGGCGGGGAGCGCTTTCGGGCGATAGAGATTTAGTTTTCCTAGATCTGTCCTGGCCCAGGATGTTCTTTTCTCTCGGAGCAATAACTGGGAGTATTCGGAAAATGAGGTAGTTATGAAAAGGGTGCTTGCGCTCCCCACCCCGCAACCTTCTGTTACTAACCCCCTTCTCTCTGCTCCATTCCTGCCTGCAACGATGCAAAGCCCTTGCTTTCCCAGCAGGAAAAGAGACGCTCCATCAGCAGCAGAGAGTGAAAGTGGGGACAAAGCTGGCTTTTGTTCAAGCTTCCACGAGGGAACCTCGTGGAGCGGAGGCAGGGTGGCGCCCTGCCATGACAGGCATGCTGGGACGGAGTTGGGGGTCCAGGGATGTGACAAAGGGCTATTTGGGGGTGCCAGGTTCAGATTTCACAGGCACCTGCCCGTTTTCCTGGTAACGTCCCCTACATTGAGGACCCTGCTTCCCTGGGGGGAGACTTAAGCTGGCAACAGGCACAGATCAGGCCCTGAAGAGTGGAAAACCTCAAAGTTCTGTATGTCTGGAGCAGTGGGCCTCCTCCCAAGGGACCCCAGTAGTCCACTACCAAAGCCGAGGTGCCAGCCCAGAAGCAGAGCTCTGGCTCTCAGGCAGCAGAGGGGAGTGGAGACAGGGGCTGGGACAGCATGCTTGGAGGGAAATGCCTGAGGAGGTGGAAAGTGTGATGCTGGAAAATGTCTGAAGCTCTCTGACTTTGCAGATCCACATGGTGGTCCAGCATGTGGTGGGGTTTCAGAGCCTTCCCTTCGAGACACTCAGCTTTCTGCTAACCCTCCTGGCCACCACGGTGACCCCAGTGTTTGTGTTGTCGAAACGCTGGACCCACTTTCCCTGTGGCTGCATCATCAACTGCACGCAGGAGGCTTGTGCAGTGGCATCTGACGGCCAAAAAAGTAAGTCCTCAGGGCGGCTGCTAGAGCAATTTGCATACAGTCTACTGAGAAACCTGCCTGAGTCCGGAAGAGTTCAAGGACAAATGTCAGTGGTAAATATAGGGAAGAAATTATAATGTGAAACGATTCTTAGCTTGGTGTTGGAAGGAAGTTTTAAATGAGGCAGGTTCAAAACAACTCTGTGAAGTGCTTGTATGCTGAATAATTATTTTAAGTAAGAAGGGAAGAGAAAATTTATTTAAAACAGTATGAAGTCAACAGTGGCCCTTAGGCATTCTATCCACCATAGCTCTTAGCCCAGAGTTGAAAATAAATCCATCTTCCAACTCTAATGAACTCTCTGAAGAGTTAAAAATTCATTATATTATCAGCCCATTATTATCGAATGGAATGGCACAGAGAAGCATTTTCATTATTTTGCTGCTTGTATTCTTCCAGGGTTTTGGAGTTTTCAGAGAAAGCAAGCACAGTGCCTGAAAACAGTACCCAAACAAATTTTAAGTGTATGTCTCTGCCTTTAGAAACCACCTACATATACACACAAAACAACTTGCCCCTGCCCCCAGACACCTGAATTTTAAGAAAGACAAAGGTGACAGAGTTTGTCACTGTAGGTCTTATATGAATCTAGTCATGCTATTTACAAAAAAGAAAAACAGAACAAAGCAAAACAAACAAACAAACAAAAAACTATGTTCTACCGAGTATACCCAGAATGGTAGTCGGTCAATTATAAAACTCACTAGAATGTCATTATTCCCATACTGAAACAGGAAAAGTTGAGTGAAGACCTGTACATTTTTACTCTTCCAGGAAGGAAAGGGATATTATTTAGTCATTCCAGACAAAAGATAGAATGCCCTACCATCTAATAAATCTAAGAATGCATGATTGTACACTGAATTAACTGTTCCATTAATTGTTCTTTGTTCAGAATAAGGAAGTATATTATTCTTTACAAGAGAAGAAAGGGTAAATAAAAACAGTTCACATCAGACTATTTCAGGAGTGTAAAAACTGGATAATACTAAAGTATATTCTGCAATCAATTATGCAACAGGATTTTTTTTTATAACCATAACCGTTTACATACAGTCATGGACTGGTATTAATAATTTTCTATGTATTAACACTTAAAATTTAGTATGTCTAAATATTTTTGAAATGACCAGAAGATTTTTTTTAGTGTTAAGGATGTCATAAAGTTTTATTGTTAATCAATGCCAAATGTCTTAAATATAATAACCATAGAACTTAAAACAATTATGTGCTTATGGAGATTAATATCCAGAGCAACAGTGACAGAGAAAATTAATAATGAATCTTTTGGCAGCCACACAGAAGAACATAGAGCATATAAAAATCATTTACAAGACTGAAAGTTCTAACATTTTATCAAATGTTAACCTTTTGCCACTAAATTAGTGAACCAGCCCTGTATTACAGTATTGAAGAACCTGAAAGAGACAGAGTCTAGTGCCAGCGAAAATGAAGTCTTAGTGAAGTCATTTAGGGCAGTCATTTTAAGAGGTAATGGACACCCATATCAAGCTGAAAATAAAGCAATGCAACAGACCTATCATAGTAAATGGCCTAGAAAGTACTCTAATCGTGTACTGCCAAGATAGAAGAGCCCATGGCAGGCTAACAGAATCAACAATCACATTCACGTCTCATGTTTGAAATTAAAACCATGCTTGTCAAGGTCAAAATAATATGTATCCTCTAAAATTACCATTTCTCTTATTTGTAGTTTTAAAAGTCAGGGAAGGTATTGAAATATATAGCATTTAAAAAGAGGCATGGCTTCAAAAATAAAATATGGGGAGAAACATTAGTTTAAATGCTTATAGTTCAAAGGACTCCATTCTCTTTTAAGATCTCATGTTCTGACATAGGAACATTCTTTGATAAGAATGATGTGTTTTCACTTTATGAGGACCCCTGCCCCCTTAAATTTTCCTATTGGTAGGATGACACAACAACAGAAATTTGAAACTCTAAAGATGGCTCATCTTCAGGTACACAGGTGCTTGATCAGTTATAGTCCTTTGATTCTTTGGGAGTGTGGCTCCAGGTTCACGTTTAAGCTTTTTCTCCTTAACAAACTAAGATCCTCCTTTTATATTCTTTATCAGTGAACTCCAGAAGCAATAAAGGGAAAATATTTTTTCTAACTCATATTTACCAGGTTCATTTTGCAGACGTAAATATAATTCTACATCTCAGCTTCACTGAATCAAAACTGAGACACATGCAACCAGAAAAAGAATGTCAGTAATGAAAATTAAGTTGCAGAAATAATAATTATCTTCTGTTTCCAACAATAATTTGTATTTCTAGTGTCTCAAGACAATTGTTAAAAAATGGTTTTAGGGCCGGCAGAGTGGCGCGTTGGTTAAGAGCTGGCTTGGGATGCCAGAGGACCCCGGTTCGGATCCCACATATGAGGGCCAGTGAGACTGCCCTCTACACCTAAGATGCTGAACAACAGCTCAACCTGGAGCTGGGCTGCTGTGAGTCCTCGGTGATGGTGTAGGCTGCAGCCCCTGCTGCAGTGGGTTGCCATGGGCTACCGTGTGTAGCCAGCAGCCAGTGTGAGTGGCCAGCAGCCGCAGTGAGTGGCTGTCCAGAAGCCGGCGACTTGATCTGCCTCACCTGGGAAGAGCGCAATGATGGTGCCAACTTGGGCCAGTGAAGCAACGTCCTCCACAACTAGAATGAAGAACAAAAGGACAGCAACTTGTCTGTTCCCCTTCCCCCCAATTCCCCAGCGCTGTTCCCATCCCCCAATTCCCCAATAAAAATCTTTAAAAAAAATGGTTTTAATAGAGAGGTCTCAGGTGTCAGGCATATGAATTGGCTATGGCTTTCACTCATTTTGTTTGCATGACATGATTTTTTTTAATTAGTTAAAATAAAATATTTTATATAAAAATCAGATTCTCAGTTTTCTTTTATTTTTTTACAAAATCAGCATATCTTGTGACATATTACCTTGAAGAATTATTTATTTTCATAAGCTGATATAATTACTTATGTCTAAGTTAATTAGCAAGATATAACTAAAGCAAAAGACTAGAGCTAATCATGTTTTATGTATGGGTTTTTTTCCAGAATAGATACAACATTATATTTCTTTTTCATAATTGTAGTATAGATTTCAAATGACCCTAACTGTGTTCTGATGGTCTTTAAGTTTCTTGTAAGTTATTAGTCAAACACTGTTAACTGTGTTATATTGTTATAACCTATTACCTGCATTAGTTACCTCATTCAGAATTTACTTTTAGTGTTATGGAAAGTCACTAACAAGTAATGTTTCTATTGGTTACACTTCATAATTAACATACTTGCCCATTAACATCATAATTAACATGCTGGCCTAATTTACAGACAGCACATCTTAGACATTCTACTTCTGTTAACATATTTCTCTCATGCATCTGATTAGCAGTAAAGCAATTTCACAGAGAGGTTAAAGGCTCCAAATCTGGAATCGGTTAGCTTTAAATTCATATCTATTTGGTAGGTAAGTAAACTTAGGTACGTTTCCTCTATCAGCCTCAGTCTTCTCAGCTGTTAAGTAGAACCAATAAGCTTTTTATTATGTAGGGTTGTTGCTGTGTTAAGTGATATGGACTATGTGCATAACTTGGCCCCAGTATGTTCTATTTCCCCATGGTCTATCGCAATTCCACTTTCTTCTCATAGCCTATCTCAGAGTGTCTTGCACCTCATGGCATGGAGCCTGATTTTCCATTGACAAAATTTGAACATTCCTTCAAAAACAATAGTTATTTTTGCTTCGTATATTTCATAGTTATAATATTCAGCTAATAAAATATGTAGCCACAGACATAAATTTTATTGTGTTACATGATAAAATTGGGACTCTATGACAGTTTGCTTAATGTCCCTAAATAGACTGTCACTTTATATTGTTTTTAGAGAAAAGGGAAACCTACCAATAATAAAACATCCTTTTAGTTCCTTCAGCCTTCATACTGGTAAAGTAAGCCAAAAATTCTAATTTAATTTCACTGGACTATACTACTAGAAAAAATAAGTAGAACTATAAATGAGACAGTGTATAAAATATTTACATTTGCTTTTATTTTTCTATTTTCCTTGAATAGAAATTCTTATGTTCTGACTCAAACAACAAATGTTTTCACTCAAATAATGAATTATATCTATAAATTCTATTTTTTAGTAAGTAGAATTGGTTTGTAAGTCTTCAGTTCTGGGGAAATTCTAGTAATAAAATTACCATGTGAATGACAGTAAGATAGCTCAATGTCTTCTATAAAACACAGAACTATCCAAGTAGAACTTTTTTTTTTAAATGAGCCATGTTTTGGAAGATGAAAACCAAAACATTAAATTGCATTTTGTCTACCATCTTGATAGAACTTCATTCTTAATATACAAAAATTATCTACTATTTAATGACATTTACATTTTTTAAATGTATCATTTTCTGTCACATTCTCACTTGTTATTCTACTAAGATTTTGTACCATACCCACCAACTAGCAGTCCTAGATTTAGGATACCATTATATTTCACCTGATTTAAGCCATACAAAGTTTTATGCATTCCTGCTTAACTCATCTTTTTTTTTTTTTTAAGATTTTTATTGAGGAATTGGGGGGATGGGAACAGTGCTGGGGAATTGGGGGAAGGGGGACAGACAAGTTGCTGTCGTTTTGTTCTTCAGTCTAGTTGTGGAAGACGTCGCTTCACTGGCCCACACTGGCACCATCATTACGCTCTTCCCAGGCGAGTCAGATCAGTCGCCAGCTTCTGGACGGCCGCTCACGCTGGCTGCTGGCTACATACGGTAGCCCATGGCATCCCATTGCCACAGGGGCTGCAGCCTACGCCGTCACAGGCGACTCATGGCAGCCCAGTTCCAGGTTGAGCTGTTGTTCAGCATCTTAGGTGTAGAGGGCAGTCTCACTGGCCCTCATATGTGGGATCCAAACCGGGGCCCTCTGGTGTCCCAGGCCAGTTCTTAACCATTGCGCCACTCGGCCGGCCCGCTGCTTAACTTATCTTGTAGTTAGTCAGATTTGCAACATGTTTTAAAGTGTTTCAGTTCACAGAAATATAAATCTATTCATTTTTTTACAATTCACTCCAAATTTATTTTTATCAATAATTTACCTGTTATTTTAAAAAGTTTCAAAACTGTATTGCATCAGTGTCTAATTTTTAATGTAGTCATTTATAAACATAAATGTCAGGACTATTATACATCAGAAAATATAAAGCAGTTATATCTGTTGATGATATTCTCAGATGAACAACTCACATAATATTAAGAGCTACTTAACAATTAATTTCTACCAAAATAAAATTTATAAACAACATATTTTATCCCTACATAAAAATTGTACAGATAATTGGTACACTAAAAAAGCTAAAACTAAAACTGTAAATGAGAGTTTTCTAACTTATGGTTAAATTTTTATTATATAAATCTACTTTAAAGACTTCAGGGTTCTTGGGTTTGTACATATTTCAAGCCCTTCATTGTGCAAGTGAGAAAAATCAAGCCCAGAGTGAGAAGATGACTTGAATTTGTGAGGCATAATTGCTTTGCATAACAGACAAGAAGTAAATGAAGACAGCTTTTAAATTCATAGAAATTTGTTGAATGCACTTTCATAATTTTATTTACAATGTATATATTCAACTGTTGTTTATATCTACCTTCTTAACCATGGAATTTTTTTTTTATTTTTTTTAGCCAAGAGGAGAGCCTTTGAATTCAATCTATCCTTTGAACGAAGTTATGGAATTTATAAAATAGCACATGAAGATTACTATGATGATGATGATGAAAATTCTACATCCTTTCATAACCTCATGAACTATGAGTGCAAAACTACAAAAGACTCTCTAGACACTCATAATATCTTCAATGCCATAAAAGTGGAAATCAGCACTACGCCCTCTCTGGACAGCTCCATGCTAAAAGGCATCAACAAATGCACGAGTACTGATATGACAGAGGCTAAACAGGATTATCATAATGAAAAGGGCATTGATCCACTGCTCCTTAAAAAAACAGAAGGTGATATTCACTATGAAGAAACTGCCTTTTTGGAAGGACCAGAAAGAAGGCTTTCTCATGAGGAGAGTCAGAAGCCAGACCTTTCAGACTGGGAATGGTATAGGAGTAGATCAGAAAGAACCCCTCGTCAGGTACAGTAAAGATTATTCTTCCTGTAAAATTAAAAATGAGACCAAATATGACAGGCATGAGAAAGCTATCAGTTACTTATTTCATTCAATCAAGTCTAAGCTAATTAGCCTTGCCTCAATTAATTTCCATAATACTAAATTTTATTTCGAGGTGCCTTTTGAAGGACTTTTTAATTTTTTAATTAATTCTACATTTTTATTCAAAATCTTTGCTTTGGCATTGGCCCAGTTAAATAAGCTCTTTGAGAAGAGTAGGAAATTCTATTTTCAATTCAAGTAATCTGTGTAAATTCAGACTAGACCCTCAGAACTTGTTTCAAATTAGTTAACTTGTAGGTTTTATTTTTCCTTCACCCAAAGAGTACTCCACAAGTCCCCAAGAGAAGTTGTTTTCTTTTTTTTAACATGATGACAAATATTTATACAGCTAGTGGTGAGGAGGATCGTCCTGCTGCAACTATACTAGACAGGATGCCTGTTAATCTTGCTAGAACTAGTCCTTCTGGTACTCAGCAAGGAGAAAAAAAAAAAAGATCTATTCCAGAATACACTCAAGTGAGAGCCTTTTTAAGCCATGATGAATGTTCCTCCCTTTAAAGATCAAAGAATGGTTTTATAATGTTTTATAAACATGAAAGAATGTGCACCTTAATCTCATCCCATTCTCGCCTAGATTCCAGCCTGCCTAGAATGAAGGAAGCTTCTTATTTCATTGAAATTATAGTGTGATATTGATATGAGATTGCTCTTTCCTCTAAACTCTCATATCTGGTAATTAAATTTGCCCTTGTTTTCCACACTATTGATTTACTAGGAAGAGAAACCTTTTTCTACATGATTTAATGGAAATCAAAGTGCACTCGCACCTAGTCTCTGGAACAAAAACCAAATAATTCTAGAAATATCTACTAGAAATAATGCACTCATTATATGACCATATAACAGCAATTATAAATATGAATATGAGCAGGATAATCTGAGATTTCCTTTATTCTTATTGATTAAAACTACTGGTCTTACTCTGATATCACCATTTTAAAAGTAAATTGGATAATAAAACAAAATATACAATGTAGTATTTAAAGTAATTATTCATATCTTTAGTGATTAGGTATCTCAGAAAAACATCACTAAGTTATTTGCCATAAATTGAAAAATACAGTGAAAAGTGTATTATTGATAGGACAAAATGCTCTGTATTTTTATAACTATATGGTACCCTACCTAAGAGGGTAATCGCTACAATTTCATCACTAATTTGTTCCTGAATAATCTAAACCTCTTGGCTTTCTCGCACTTAAAAATTGTTACTATTCATGATGAAGCGTGTGTGTGTGTGTGTGTGTGTGTGCGTGCATCTTGATAACTTGCAACTACCAAGTGTGCTACTCACTGCCCTATCCCATCCTCATGCTTTTCCCTTAGGGATTACAGCTATTTTGAATCTTGCTCATGTTTTTTTGTTTTGTTTTATCACAAATGAACATGCTTCTACCACAATATATTGTTAATTTTGCGCTTTCTAAAGATGGTATCCTACTGTACCTAGTCTTCCGGGACTTGCTTTTTTCCCATGGAAACTTATTTTAAATGACTGTTTTCCCATATATTTTGTCAAAACATTGGGAATTATTATCTAAAATATCGCAACTTATAGCCCTTATTTAAATGTCTTGGTTATAGTTTGGAGAGCAAAATCAATTAACTACACTTGGAAACACACGAAAGGATCAGACACTGTTTACATTTAAGTATACAGTTCTATGAAAATAAAGAAGTACAACTTACCCACAAACCTCTGTAAATCAAAAAATAAAATGATATATAAAAAGCACAAAACTCTGATCAATCCAGATATCTTTTAACTACAAAAAGTTGCTTATTAAGTATTAATATTTTAATACCTGTGAAGAGCAAGTAATTCAGGGAACTGATCTAAAATGGTAGTTGTGAAAAAATGATTCGTGGTAAAATAGATAATATACTATTCAGGAAAGGTAAAATTTTTATTTTCGGAGACTAATTGAAATTAAATGAAGTGCTATCGTGAATTTTAAAACAACAGTAAGAAATCCTTAGGCCACAGGCTGATGTTATGATATGATTTTCCCTTTGCAAAACTGCCTGTGGATTTTAAGATTCACATTATAACCAAAATACACTTAGGCTTGAGAAGCTTATGACAACTTTTTTCTATGACCAAAAACAGGTTTTAAGTCATACTCTATTCTTTACTAGCAGATATGTCATGGGAGTAGATGGTAACGTGGAAAGCACTTTCATTTCATCCTTTTCTTCTAAGTCCTGTTTTGCTCTGAAAGCAATGTTAATTCATATATCTTATACTGGTTCATTCAACTGTTTTTTGTTTTTGTTTTTGTTTTTGTTTTTGTTTTAAGCTGAGCCATCCTGCCACCTGTTGGCAGCTCAGCGGCAGCTCAGCTCGGGCTGGGACTCAAAACTCTGTTGCTCAGAGCTCACACTCTTGAGCGAGCTCTTAATCACCTGAGCCACTCGGCTAGCCCTCATTTAACTGTAGATACTGCAGTAACTCTATGAAAACACCATCTCTTGATTTTCAATCGTTGTACTTTCAAATATGTAGCTCAGTTTATCAGATCATGTCTAATGGGACTACATTGAAGTGTGTGCTCTTTGTTCTTAGGCTTAAAAACAGCAGGTTTGATTTAAAATATAGTGAGCCCTACTTTAGTTTTATAATACACATTGCTTAACTTTTTTATTAGAGTTTATGTTAGTGAACAAATTCTTAGTATATCTTGTCAGAAATCCTGGTAGGAGTGAGAGTGCCAGATCAAGGTTAAAGTGCAATGAACATGGTAGTAGAATGGCTTCGGCAGATTTTAATGTGACTTAATAAAATTTAGCAGAGTTAAGAGTGTTTGTAAAATTGAAATTCAGTGTTAAACTTAGCCACACAATCACTTATTTTTGGACCCCCAGTAGGTAGAATGCCCAGCAGCTCACTATTAAAATATTCAGAAAAAAATAGTCAGAAATGTCAGAGCTCTTCAGTTACAAAGTTTTAATGTAGTAGCCATGCATAATATGACTGGTCTTCAAATTAAATAATGATTTTTCCAGATTCCAAAAGTTTTGCCATCTATGAATAAAAAAATTGGATTTCTAAAATAATTTACTGACTTGTGGGTAATCACCCTATTTTTTTTTTATAATTTTCTCTTTTAATTCTAATTCATTGAATTGCCCATGGGTTCTATTCTCTTTTCTTTTAATGTAGTGTTTTACAGCTCTAGAAACTCATTCATTATTATAAATCAGAAACAAAGATATGCTGCAACTACGCCACTTAATCCCATTTAAGCCCTATCATCATAGCATCTAAAAGGTGAAAGGTCTTCCACTATGTCAGTAGTTTATAGAACAACAGATTCTGAAACAATCCTCAAATGAGAGACAAAGAAAGGGGAAGTGATTTCATTTGACTAGCCACACAAACCACTTAGCATAAAGTAGAATAAGCCAAGAACTATAAAGTCACCTGAGAATCAAAGAAGTTTTATTTTCATTTTAAGGGAAATGTTTTAGCTATCTAAAAATAGTTTTACAAATCAAAGTTGTGTTGTTTGGTAAGAGTTCAGCAGCAACGTTGACTTCTATAACCTTTAAAAAATATTATTTCTTTAAGTAATTTTCATAGAAACCTATGGAATCCAAAAGTTAAACTAGACTGTGTTGGATTCTTTAGATCAATGTGCAAATAAGTCAAACGGAGATCTTGTTAAAATGCAGATTGTGATTGAGTAGATAGCTCTGAGGTAAGCGCCAAGATTCTGTATTTCTAAGAAAGTCCCATATCAGGCCTATAGAAACAGGATCCCACAGTTGATTCAGATGCAAATTTAAGAAATAGTGTTTAGGGTCTAATCACTAGGAGATGGATACTAGTTTAAAGAGCAAGGGTAAACTAATTCTTTAATATATGCCCCCAAAAGTGAAATAAGACTAGGAAAAAAAATAATGCATATATTTCTTCCCCTAAACAACTATGCATCTTCTCTTTTCATTTAAAAAAAAAACTATTAAAACATTAAATTAGACATATGATGTGTTTCCTGTGACATTGTAATCTTGCAAATGCTTAAACCTGTTTGCTGAGTGATTTTTAACTGAAGTGACCATGGGAGAAAAATTCACTCACCACATTTGTAGCCTCAAGGCACTCATCCTAATACAAATGGCTGTCAGGAGTACAGAAATTTTACATTTGGCTACAGCCTTTTGTCTGGAGTGGTTTGTTCATTACTCATTGTTCGGAGACCTGAAAAATTGTTATACTGCTTTCTTTTTAAAGACATTTATAACCTTTATTGTTTTATGATTATAAATTAATATAATTATTGTAGAAAATTTAGAAATTCCTGATTAGCAAAGAAAAAATACGTAATTCCAATCATCCAGAGTCAACCACTGCTTATATTTTATCATAAAAATATAACTTCAGGCTCTTTCCTTTACATATATTTTTACTTTTGACAAAATGGGTCATATTGCATGTACTATTTTGAAACCTGCTTTTTTCCACTTACAAGTATAATTTTCACCTGATTTAAATTGTTAGAGTCCTACGTGTGAATATATGATATATGATATGGCCATTTGAAGTACAGCGAAAAACTCATCCACGAATGTAAATTTGTTCACAAGTATTTAAAGCCTTGGAAGATGAAGCTAAGGGAAATGAAATACAAATGAATTCAAATATGTCATAACACACTTTGTGAACCTCACAGCATGCATCCTTTGCAGAAATGAAGTAAAATTGAACTGTCTAACTGTTCACTTTCAAGGGGATTATTAAAGGGGATTAGCCTCAGATCAAAGCTTGTGAGGAACACTATAATTCATCTTTTAAGCTAATAATTTTGTTAACATTCTTTAAAAAAAAAAAAACCTCATAGTTTAAGTATAAGAAGACCTTAAAGCCTACGTATAGAACTTAGTTATGGCTTGAATCT